CCACAGTCTGCAGGATTCTGTTTTCCAGCAACATAATTCCATTGAATACCTGGAACAGCTTCCTGAATCTTCGCAACTCGATTTGCTATAAAAGGTAGCCAACGGCGAGGCTCGAACGAAACCCATGCCAGTGTAAACCGTGAGCCAGTCCATGCGTAAATACTGTTAATCGGCCGTTCTATGCATGATAATACTGCATGTTAAAGGTTGTTTAAAAGTAACGCAGCACACAACTCTAGTCTTGGAAGAGACGGGACTGACTGACTGACTGATTAGTTTATTGCCGGACTACCACACAGTGTGCAGTTTTTCCGGCTCAATCAAATTTGCCACATGGGCGCATCAAATGGTACTATCTGCTAGTGGTATCGCAGAGGGAGCGGAGTAGGTGGAAAAAAGCGGGAGACCGAGACATCGCGCGGTCATGGACAGCAAGTGGAACGTCCTATGTTAATTGAAAAAAAACGCACAATGTCTTAAAGTAACAGTACAATACAAATACAGAAAGAGTAAAAATATAACGAAAAAATATATACAATATGTAACTATATACAGGATATTGCACTATATTGCACACTACTAATCATTAAGTAGGAAAGTTAGAGTCATTTGCAAGGTGGGCCGCTAGTGGTCGAATTTCACAGTCCTCGTCTAGAATTGTATAATTTAGTGTGTTTGAATTAGACAAATGTGCACAGTTAAGAGCTTTCATGAAGAAATTCCTGTTGAGTTTGTGCAAATGCTGCTCAATTGTACTAAGTTTCAAGTCTCTGTGTAGAGTGGCGTTGCTGACGTAGTAATGAGCATTAGTAATTCTAAGTATTCTATTCTGAATTACTTGCAGTATGTACAGGTCTCTCTTTTTAGCCGTATTCCAGGCTGGCGAAGCATATGTAATGATAGGCCGTATGTTCATTATATACACAAGCCGCTTTCGACGCAGATCTAATTTTGAAAACTTGTTAAGAAGGGGCTTTAAGCTGTTGATTACAGCGAAAGCCTTTTTCTTAACATTAGTGATATGGTCGTTCCAAGTTAGTTTTTGATTCAGTACTACCCCGAGGTACTTGGCTTTTGTGACTTGCGGCACCTGTTTATTGAAAACATAAAGTTTCCTTTTGAGTGGGGTCCGTGTATGTTTTCTCCTGATGACAAGTAGTTGCGACTTTTGCGCATTGATCGATATCCTCCATTTAGTACATCAGGATTCAATATTGGTCATAATGTCCTGCAGCTTCTTTAAAACATGATTTGCGTTAGCAGACTTCACAGCTAAAGCTGTGTTGTCTGAATAACATCCTAAAAAGTTATTTTTATCCAAGTGGTCGCGCGGGAAGTGTGCAACATATAATAAATATAAAATTGGTCCTAAAATGCTGCCCTGTGGTATACCAGCATTAATTTTTCTAGTGTCAGAGACGTCTTTTCCGATGGAGATAGAAAAGCTTCTATTTGTGATGAATGAAGTAATGAGCTCAATCATTCCCCTTTCGAAGTTGAAATTAATAAGCTTGTAAATCAGCCCCTCATGCAAGACGCGGTGGAAAGCTTTCGCCACGTCCAGCATGAGGATGGCAACATTTTGTCTGTGGTGTAAGGCATCTCCACAAAATTCCACAAACCTTACCCCAGCTGCTTGGAAGTGCATAATTTTGCGCGAAATCCGAACTGTTCGGGCGGAAGTACATCTAAGAAGGGCTTGAGCCGATTTAGGATAACACGTTCATAAACTTTTCCAAGCCCTGAGAGTAAGCTAATGGGCCTGTTAACTCTCGGGCCGGGTAGTATCCTTTCCTGGTTTTGGCAATAATATAATTTTAGCGTGCTTCCAGCAATTGGGGAAGTAGCCTGATGTTGAGGCAGGCGTTTACGATACTTGTGTACTTCGTAATCATGTTCATGGGTAGTCTCTTAATGGCAATATTACTAATAGTATTATGCCCAGGTGCTTTGCGGGCCTTAAGTTTCTTGATTAAATCCTTAATTTCCAGTGAGGAGACGCATTTTACTTGTTTTCTGACGGTAGGAGTGTTCAGCCAATCTTTAAATTTGTAGCAAATGTCGTAAACGAAATCAATGTCACGTGGAGTTTTGTTTGGCATGAACTGCTGCTCTAAATAATCTGCGAGAACCGCAGCCTTGTCCTTATTCGTAATAGCGATGTCGTCGTCAGTGAAAATGGGCCTAGTGCTGCTAGTATTACGTCTGAGACTTTTAATAAAAGCCCAAAGTGAGCCGTCCATAGGATTGAGACTTAAAATCTTCTCCTCCCAGATTTCATTCCTGTGCGAGTCAATTAGTTTTTTAATTTTCTTATTCAGTTAAGTTCAGATTTAACCTTGGGACTCCAGGTAAGATGCCATCTTTTACGAAGACGGTTGCGTTTCGTAATTAAATTCCTGATGTTCCTAGGAAGTCTCCTTGCGTAATTTTCTTTGTTAATGACACGCGAGGCATTATTGATGGCAGTTTTGATGCTACCCATGAATTTATTAAGTGCAGAATCTATGTCATTTCTGCTCTTTAAACTACCTATGGCAGGAGGGTTATTGCAAAGTAAATCTTCGTAAAGGTCCCAGTTTGTGACTTTTTATCAGTTCCTTGCTATCCACTCTTGAGGTCCCAAAGGTAACGAGCACTGGGATGTGGTCGGAGATAAGCTCGTGCATGACTTCAAAAGTCATGGGATGTCGGTATTTGTGAGCATTATATCAAGAATATCAACCCTGCTGAGGTTACTAGGTCTGTAAGTATACTCAACTGATGCGTTAATAGTAACAGGGTTCTTTAAAAGGAAGTTATACAGTCTTTCCATTCTTGTTCGTACAACGGCAGCCCCATTCAGAGTTCTTAGCATTTAAATCACCAGTGGTGATAAACGGCTGGTCATTAGAGCAGAAGCTTGAGATGATATTTTCATTAAGTTGCATTGTGGGCGGATTGTGCCGAAGTAAAGTAGATGGTACCATAAAAAGGAAGGTGTACAGCAAATGTGACCGCCTCATGATTATTATTTCCATCGTCCTTAATTAAACAGGACTGTAGGGAGTTGCGCACATAAATAGCGACCCCCTGCCTCTATGACTCATTCTGTGGCACCTATATTTGCGGTAATTAACAATAAGGTGTAGCGTGCGTCTCAGTGATGAGTGCAATATCAACAGCGTAATTTGTGAGAAAGTTGTGCAATTCTGTGACTTTATTAAGAACGCTATAAGCATTCCAATATGCTAATACAATAGGGGCTTTGTTAGTGGTGTGCTTGCCCATTATTATTAGGTTCAGAGGTTTGGTTGTCTTTACTTAAGTTTTTAACTTGTCTTATTTGTTCGGAAAGAAAAAAGCCGCAGCTTTTGATTACAGATACCAGTTCGGCTAAATCAGCAAAGACTTTCTTAGCTTCTTTCATTGTATCGGTATAAATTCCAGTAGATAAAGCTTGTGGGAAAGATTTATTTTCAATCACACGACTGGCATATGTCTTTGGTTTTCAGAATTAGTGTTAGTTTTCTTGGGAAATTTCTCACCCCCCCTGAAATTGGAGGTGTGATCTAAATTACAGTTAGCACACTTTGGGGGCGTGTTCTTGCTCTTACTTGGACATTGAAATGAAAAGTGATTGTGGGCACATCTGACACATTTGGGAGGGTGGTTACACCCATTTTGAGTATGGTGGAACCCCTGGCACCTATAGCATTGCAGGGGTCCCGCTCTTCCTCTGTACTGCTCGACTTTGATTCTTAAGTCTAATAAATATTCCTCATTAAATATTTCTGCTGATTTGTCTTTTTTGGGTAAAGAAATGAGAAAAAGTGGTAGTTTGGTAATTTCACCATTCCTACGCCGTGTCATTTGTTTTACAGATGAGATGGTGTAATTCTTTGCTTCTAATTCGTCCTGTATTTCTTTTGGGTCGTCATCTCTCAAAAGTCCCCTTACGACAACTTTTAAATCCTTATCTTGGGGTAAGATATAGCAATGGTACTCAATGTTAGCTCCTCTCAGCAGATTGATCGCTAACTTGTATTTTTCAGCATTTTTGGTGTAGATTTTTATAGAGTCATTTACTGTATGGGGTGTGAATTCGATATTATTTTCCCGGAAAATGCGTCTGGTTTTACTCCAACCCTTACTGTCTACTTTAATTATGATGGGTGGGATTTTATTCTTTTTAGTGAAGTCACCTTCAGTGGTTTGTTGATTATCAGTAACTGCTTGAATTGTCGGTTGTTCTTTACTGTTAGTATCCATTAAATTGTTATCAGTGCCAGTGCTAGCCGTGTTATTAGAATTATTTTCTTCATGCGTAGTACTAGCAGTACGAGACTCTGTCATGTTTGTCGTGATATCTGTATTAATTTTTACTTGCATCTTAGAAGAGACGGTGGAGCTGCTGTGTTTTTTTATGTCAGAAACTGATCTTGACTGAAGAATCAGCTGATTGTTCTGAGATAGATGACGGTACAATAAGCTTTTTCTGAAGCGTCACATAAAGCAAGAAGTTCTATAATTATTGCCTTCGAACTCAAGGCATACCTCGGAATTTGTAAGCTTGAAAGTAAGGGCAGTTCTAAGTAGAAACCTTTCCACTTACTACTTATTCTCTTGTCATCGATTTCATTCCAACCAAGCTGTAAACTCCACATCTCTTGTAATAATATTTTCGAGTATATCATTGTTGGCGCTAACCATCCCATTGGATCAAAGATTTTGGCTACCTCTGATAAAATAGTCCTCTTAATAAACTCTTTATCACTTATGCATTCTGAAAAATTAAATGTATCACTAGAGGTGTTCCAATTAATCCCCAATACCTTCACTTTCTTATCACTGGTTATGTCCAGAGAAGTACTGGGTTCTCGTCTCGTAAGCACTCGGGAATATTCTCTAAAATAGCTGAACTGTTCGAAATCCACTTCCTTCCTTAAGCGGAATCCACCCCTTTCCACCATTTCATTTAACTGCTGAACAAAACATTCGCCTCCTCTTCACTTCGTGTCCTAAAAGCAATTCATCAACATAAAAGTCACGAAGGGCAATTTTTGATGCCAAAGGAATCTCGCTTGTTCGTCTAATGCAAGTTGTTTCATTACTTTAGTAGACAAATATGGTGCACAGGCAGTCCCATACGTAACTGTTACTAATCTGAATGCACTCAAGGGTGCTCTAGGACTATCCCTCCATGGTATTCGTTGCCAATTTGTATCTTCTGGGTGGACACGGATTTGTCTGAACATATCTACATCGGCACATACCGCAATTTTGTAAGTTCTGAACCGTAGAAGAATTGGAAACAGCTCTTGCTGTACTTTTGGTCCAACCATCAAAAGGTCATTTAATGAAAGTCCCGACGTTGTTTTAGCTGAAACATCGAAAACGACTCTCAGTTTAGTCATAGTACTTGATTCCTTCAATACGGCATGATGAGGCATGTAATAAGTAGAATTGATAAAAATCTCTCCCTCATTCATATGTCTCAGCTGAAGGTATTCTCTCATGAAATCTTTATATTGTTCATATATCAGGCCTTTTTAAAAGTAAATTCTCTAAAGACTTGAATATACGCATAGCTAATTATCTCGAATATCCGAGCTGAGATGGCAGAGAATTAAACAGTAATTTCACAGTAAATATACCACTTTCCTCTCTCGTAAATGTAGATTTGAAGTGGTTCTCACATGCTCTTTCTCATTTGTTAAGCATGTCAAACGTAGATACACTGCTCAAAAAAAAAAAAAAAAAAAAAAAAGAGGGACAGTGCTATATCTCCCGTTCTACTGGGCCGATTGACAAAATTCAACCTGCGTTTTTCATGTCTCGAAAGCGCGACTTAGGATATATATTAGATTTATATATAGCACTATTCTAACATAGGTATTTTGACACAAAATCGGACTTTTTCTGAAATAACATACCAATTTTTTTTTTCCATATTTCGATTCTACGACTCAAATTATGCCAGAATACCAAGTTTTGTAAAAAATCGTACGAGTAGTTTTTAAAATATTAGCTCTCAAATTTTAGCTCCTCAATGTTAATTGAATTTGGCAAATATTTATTATATCTCTCTTTTTTATTAAACTTTTTTGATTTTTTTCTCTCACATTTCGAAATTTAGGGTTCATTCCAAATAAAATTTACCCATTTTTTGTGTTTTATTTTTAAAATTTCTATTTTAAAATAATTTTTATAAATTTTTCGAAAAAAATTTTGAATTATAACCTATAAAATTTTTACCATCATCTTAAAGTAGGTGTATTTTTTAGGCATATCTGCAAAAAATTAGGCTTTTTTATTCAAAATTTTCTAAGATATGCACGAATTTACATATTTTCGCGTTTCGAAATTTGGCATCTTTTTTGTTGAGCGATAATAAACGCCAAATGTGGTCTATGGATTTTTGTTACACTGAATTGCCACAGCTATTTTTAACCTTAAAAATTCAAGTAAAATTTTACGACGGAGAATTAATTATATGACATTTTTTTCCTTCAATGATGCGTAATAAATATTTATTAATACTACATTTAAAGCTATTTTTTTAAAATTATATATGATATTATTCAAATTTTAACTATTTTTTTTAAATTTCTCTATATCATAATAAATAAATAAATAAATAAATAAATAAAAATTAAGAGTGTAAATTTTTGTATGAGTAAATTTTTACCTTCGGCGTTTTATCGTCTGCTGCTTTACTTCGTTTAAATCGAATTGTCTAAAACTGAGAATTTTTTTTGATGTTTATTTGAATTTTAGGACAGTAACTGCATAATTTATTTCTAAAAACAAACTGTTGCTTTTGAAGTGGCTGAAAGAGCGGCTGATACATATTTTTAAAGCACAGTATATTTTTATAGAAACATAAGATTTAGAATAATCATTTTTATAAAAGTCAAATTATGATATAAACATACAACCCTCTAGAGACTGAATTAATGGAAGTTCGGTGGTTGTGTAGAAATGATCTGCAGCTACTTAATGGCTGGATAAGTCAGAAGATTCTGTGGACAAGTAAGAATAATTACGAGGGCCATCCAGGAAGTAGATTACGTTTCCGTCTGTGTCCGCTAGGGGCGGGGCTAGCGCGGCCATCTTGGGGTCAGAGCGTTGCGCAGCTCAGTCTGCATCTAGCCGTGCTAGTGAGAGGTTCGTGCTGTGCTCCGTTCAGATACTGTGACGGTTTGAAATGTCTGCGTTAATTGAAAATCCCGCGAGCTGCGAGGTGCGCTCAGTAATAAGGTTTCTGACTGCAAAAAACTATAGATAGATAGAAAACTGCCGATAGATAGAAATCTATCGGCAGCTTCGTGAAGTGTATGGGGACAACATTATCACTGAAGGTGGAGTGCGTCAGTGGGTCATAAGATTTCAAAATGGCCGAACCAATGTTCACGACGAAGATCGAAGTGGGAGACCCAGCATAGTGACCGCCGAACTTCTCGAAAAAGTCGATGCTAAAGTCCGTGAAAATCGAAATTTCACAATAACGGAACTTTCTTTGAGTTTTTTCCACAAATTTCGCGAAGTTTGTTGCACGAAATCATCAGCGAAAAGCTTGGTTACCACAAGTTTTGTGCAAGATGGATTCCAAAAATCTTGACAGAGGACCACAAAAATCAGCGAATGGCTGCAGCGTTGAAACTTTTTGGACGCTTACCATAAGGATGGGTGACTCTTTACTCGATCGCATCGTTACTGGTGACGAAACATGGGTGAAACATGTGAACTGTGAAACGAAATTGCAATCAATGCAGTGGGGGCACACAAGTTCTCCCCAAAAAAACCCAAGAAATGCATGCAAACAATGTCGGCAAGGAAGATGATGGCGACTGTTTTTTGGGACAGAAAAGGTGTAATTTTGGTGGACTTCCTGGAAAGAGGCACTACAATAAACTCTCAAAGGTATTGCCAAACTCTCCAAAAACTCAGAAGAGCAATTCAAAACAAGCGCAGAGGAATGTTGAGCTCTAAGATCTTGTTGATTCACGACAACGCCCGGCCCCACACGGCAAATGTCACTCGTAAAGTTCTTGAATCTTTTAAGTGGGAGTTGTTTCCTCATCCGCCGTACAGTCCCGACCTGGCACCGAGCGACTTCCACCTATTCCCAGCAATGAAGAAGTGGGCTGGCTATGCAGCGTTTTGATGACGACGCACAGCTGCAAGAAGAGGTAACGAAGTGGTTGAAGGCGCAGGCGGGCCGAATTTTTCGACGAAGGAATTTCCAAGCTCGTACATCGCTACGATAAATGCCTTAATTTGTATGGTGACTATGTAGAAAAGTAGTATTTGAGTGTGGCTTTCATCTGTATATAAATAAAATTTGTTTCCTATACTTTGTTTATCTTTTTATTCCAAAACGTAATCTACTTCTGTAGACAAGTAAGAATAATTATATAAACGACACCATACATTCTGGATTCAATTAACAACGAGGATACGATGTTTATTAAATGAATTCAAGAAGTTTTAAAACATAAAAAATCAACTCATTTTTTTATCTTAAAATGTATTTTTGTGCGTAGCGTATTTTCATTATATTCTTAAAATTCTAATTTAGAATGTAATTGTCAAGAACTGAATCCTAATCATTAGTAATATAATAAGTAATTATTACGGTTATTAATAAATCCTTCTTATAAATTGCAAATATTGCACACGATATTATTTATTTACACTTCAATTCTAACCGTCAGCTCTAGTAGAAGTTATAAATCAATTACATTTAATTAAGGATTGGATTGGATTATTTAATTATCGCAAAGCACACGAGGGTTATCTGCCTAAAGGAAGGGATGCCTTCGTGGAGGATTTTCTAAGGGAAACTGGCTCGTATACACGTTACACATGGGGAACGAAAACCACGCCAAACGCCCGGCCCATTCGCTACACCTTCCAACCTCGCCACCTCCCCGATTGGCGCTCATCGATTTTCGAATAGTGTGGGCTTTACCTAGAACTACTTAAAAAGGAATTACCGCGCCTTTCTTTTCCCGATTAGTTAATATTTTTTAATGGGCGCCGCATTCTAAGTTTAACATGTACTCCCGATTGCGCATCTTTCATGTTAATATTCGGGTTTTGCTAGTTTAACTTTAGGTTCGCGCTTTTTAAAGGTTAGTTGGTTATTTGAATAGAAAGAACATGGGAGATATTTGATTAATATGCTTTCATAGAGAACCTTTGTAAAGAGAACCTAGAAAACTACGAAAAACCAACCATGCAGCCTGGGTTAGACTTCGCAACAAACAATTAGTATTTAAAACAATCTTCAAATGCTAGGCAACCGGTGAGGCTCCAATTTAATATTTATTTCTAAATATTTAAAATTTCTTGTTTGTTTTGTTAGACACAAAAAGCAGAATTTAAGTTTTGTGTTACTCGTTAGTAAACTACCAAGTCGTAGTGCAAATGAATATTCAATTGCTTTTGCAATAATTGTATTCACTTAATATTTCTTGGAATATGAGCTAAGAAGAAAGGAACGTTCTCGGAAGATTAAAGAAGTGTTTTAAATCCAGTGATATTAGGTTTGTCTTACAACAAGCTCAGGATCAAAACGATTCTGCAATTGCCCGAGTAGTTGACTTGTAAATGATTGTGAATTAAGCAGATGAGATGACTTTTAATCTTACGTTTTTTTCAGTCAGAAAACCTATTCCGAATGTTTGTATTGCATGACAATGCATCTTTTCATTATTCAATAACCAGTCGGAGAAAAACCCCGCTTGTGTTCCGAAAATAAGTATGTGTACTCAATCGTTCTGCATGTTCTTCAAATTTGTCTTCTTGTGATTTTTTCTTTTCCTAAACCTAAAAACTAAAGTTGCCTCTCAAAGGAAAGTTTTTTGACATTGAAGAGACAAAAGGAGGAGTATGACATCTACTTTTAGAGGCATGTCAAAAACAGATCTGTACAAGCCTTCTCTTCCATTACATGTTGTGGGCAGTCAGACAAAAATTTGCATCAGCGTAAATTTTACAATCTATTTTTATTCCACTCTGATTACTTTATTAACATACAGTGAATATATACTAAATCTTTTACTTTAGCTTAAGTAATTCGGAAGTTTTGACTGAATTGTTGTCGGAACTAGGACTTAGAAGATAAGTCAAATTAAATATTTCGATAATCCAATAAATTCAAGGTCGAAGTTTCAATATTTTATTTTCGGAGGGAGGAGAAATTTTTTTAGTTTTGGTCCATTATCCTAAGTATATTTGCTTTGATTCTTTATTTTTTCCATAAAAGCGAAAAATTTACGCTTGGTATACATATAACGCATAGCTTCAAATTAAAATTTAATAATATACAGAGTGGTTATAATTAAAGTTCCGCACTGAAACGGTCATAAAAGGAAAACTACTGGATCAAATTTTATCAAACTTGGTAATCGTGTAAAGGAGGTCATGGGAATTTATTTTCCGCGAAAAAAAGGAAGTTGGAAACCTCACCACCAGGGGGAAAATGGCGCTGTATGCAATATTGTTAAAC